TTCTGGAGTGCACAGACTCAGGTGAACCACAAATGGAAAAGAGACAGCTAAATATTCATTTAAAAACATTTGCCCTGGGGGACGAATCAAAATTAAAGAGACCAAACCAGTATGTGCGCCCAAGTCATGCTTTTTGAAGCACATGGAGAATGTGGTTTGTATTGTCTTGAAAATTGGATGTCAATATTTGTTTCATAAGCTGCTCTGAGGTCTGGCAAAACTCATCTGCATCAAATGTGAAGCGCCAGAACAATTTTCTTATTACTTGAAGTACACTTAAATCATTATTGTGGTTGCCAAACTTTCTCTGATTTACAATTTTTCCCCTCATTCGTAGGGATACCAATTACGGTTTAGCAGCTGTTTAATTTTTTTTTTTTTTTTTTTAATAATCTTTGACATTTTTTGCACAAATTTTAGCCAAATGGAATTTTTCTATAAGAATTATATTAGTATTTGAAATGTTTCTTTGTATCTTTTCTGCCATGAGGTCAAATTTCTCCATTAATTTGAATAAACATCTCTAAAGCATATACAAATTGATGTCTTGTATCAGATTGCTCATCTTTGAACATGAAAAAGCCAGATACTAAATGTTGAGCAGCAGGCATGCCTCCACAGAAAGAATTTTCCTTGTAAAACAGCAGCAAACACCTTTTGTGATTCCCCTCACTTCATCTATAAACATGTCCTTAAATTGTGAAAAATAACCAAGTCTCTAGTAACAACCTCCCCACTAGCAGTTAATTGGCCTCACTTGGTAGAACTTAATATGGTGCATTAACTGAAAAGATTTTGGCGTTTCAGAACTATAATGTTGATAAAAAGTAGCGGTTTTCTCTGAATTTGTCATTTTAAGAGGTGATTCGATCTCTTTTCAAAAATGTAGAGCCTAAATAATTATTTAACAATGATTTTATTTCCATATAATCCACTTTACCCACAGCTAAATTACAGTTTTCACTGAATAATTTTCCAACAGGGGTGCAATGATTTTAGCAAATAAGGAAGAGATCTCAGAGCATCTCAATGGACGGCTGTACAGCCAGTGGCATAAACACGAGGATTTCATGCAGTCCATTTCATCCAAACATCGACTAAAAAGAGGAATTAAACAGTCATGGAAGCAACAGTTAAATGAGCTGCATCTCTTTAACTGCAGGAGGAAATCCTACGAGTGCTTCAAAGAGAAAAGAGCTGGCAGTGGAACCCTGCTGCACGTGCTTTTGCTGCGCAGCTGAAAGCTTCGCGTCAGGATGAAAAAGCTCATTACTCCATCAACGCTACACATCTTTATCCATCTTGAAACGGAGAAGTTATCATCATCACCTTCCGCTCACACAAAGCGCCGAGGCTATTATGTGAAACAGGAGCCATCCTCCTTCTGTACAGTCTCTTTTGTGTTGCATGTAACCGATGTCCTCTGATTCAGCCAGAGGAGACGGTCACTCGGTGGGGGTCAGGAAAAGGAAAAAAAAAAGAAAAGCTCGGCATCTACTTCACTCACCATGAACGCTGCGGTTCCTTGCAGAAGGACAGTTCTCCGGTAGCCTAGCGTAGCATCACGGTTGCGCGGCAGGGCTCACTCCTGGTAACAGGACACCCGGGGCAGAGGGACAGGCAGGCTGCCGATGGGGGGACACACCCCGCATTGCAAAGGATGCAGAAGCAGGGTCATGACACCCTGTGATCCACTCAAACCCCCCACAACTCTCTTCTTCACTCCCTCTCTGAGCAGTGACGCTACGCTGATCCACTCTGCATCAGGTCTACGGCTGCTGTGTGTGTGTCAGCAGATTCAGCCCTGCCTTGCGCCGTTGGTCTGCGTGTCTGCAACGAAAGGCTCTGCACTCTTCTCATCTCCAGCAGTCCAGCTAATCAAGCCCGGAGTAACGGATCGGGTTTCACCTCGGCTCTCCCAGTCCGGTCGAGGCTGAATGAGCACCAGCAGTCTCCTTCGCTGCTGTCCTAGAAACATTGTCCCCATTGTTCTTGTCCTCAAGCAGAGAACAAGAACATTTCCTTCAAAGGAGTAGTGTAGTTAGGTCCATCCAGGTGTTTTGCACAGTTGAATGGTTGCCATGGAGATTCAAGGATTTCTCAAACACTCACGAACGAATGAAGCCAAAACTCCAGGTATGTTTTAGATGGGGAATAAAATAGAATATGACGGAAAGCTCAAAAGTCAATTTCACGTGATACTGCCCCTTTAAAGACAAAAGCATTGTCGGATATTTTCACTTGGTGTAAGATAAAACATGCTGAATTAGAGCTTTGTCATTAAACGAGTGCAATGAGTTCATCATTAAAACAGGCAGAGTTGCAGGACAGAAGCCTGAAATCCGAGCAGCACTGACTAATCTTGCAGTGGAGTGTAGGGTTACAACCAGAGATAAGATAGGAAGCACACGTGTCAGTGTGCACATGCCCATATGTTTACACCGACACATGCCACTGTAAATCATTGAAAAGTAATTTGAGAGGGGTTAAAAGCTAGTTTTGAAGACATTTTTTGTCATTTGTAATTTATTTTGAACAAAAAATTAAATAAAATTGGAAATTTGGTATGAAAGAAAAACAATCTGATTTTATTTTTTAGTTATATTGCCCAGCCCTTTCTGTAACATGACTTCATGTTAAAAAGTAAAAGTGATGTCTTTGCAAGGCATTGCAGGAATCGGTAAATGAGATGAGCTTTTCATCCAGGGCTGAAATGCACAGCGATTGTTCCGCCTCTGGTGTCAGCCAGAGAACAAAACGAAAGCAAAAAGGTTCTTCACCCTGTTAATTACACACTAATCCGTTTCTTTGGTGCATTTTACTTGTCAAAAGCTGCGCTTTAAACAGGCCTGTGACCATTTCCCATGTGATTAGCAGCAGGAGATTATACAGAGGCAGTTCAGCCTCCCAACAGGAGACAGAGGCTTTCAGCAACGCCTCAAAAGAACTTGGAACGAAGCGAAAATAAATACAATAGAACGCTGGCACTAGTAGTATATGCTGCATTACAAATGGAGACGAAACAACAGCTCAGCTGTTGCCTGGAATCAGCTGATTCTGAAGTAGACCGGCTTAACCTGTCTAATTTGACAACTTAATTTTTTCTAATCTGAGACAACACAGCCAAGTGACCAAGTTGCACTGCAACCAGCATGTCTCTGGGGTGCTGTTTATGGAAGTAAGAATGAATGTCGCCGTCTATGGATCGATCTTTAAAGTTGTTCAGCAATTGTAGCCAACAGTATTCTCAGAAGATCATAAGACGAAGGAAGACCGTCACACATAGAGAGAGTACTCAGTGTTTTGCCAAACGCCATGAATAAGAAGTGCCCAGTGTTTGCAGACGTAAACACAGATGCTAATAATGTAGCACATTTTATGATTTTAAAATAGTTTTCCAACCGGAACCAGCACTTTAACAGCTTAATCTTTGTGGTAGTTGTTTTTCTTCTCGCTTGTGTGCATCGGGATGCAGGATAAGGACATTTGTCGAGTATCAGTGACATTCAGGTTGGAAGAACGCAACCTGGACCTTAGGTCACATTGGATTCGGATGTGACCTGTGGAGTGGGTCGCATTTGAAAAGAATCTGACCCGTATTGTTCAGACCATCATGTAAAGATCAGATACAGGTTGATTTAAGTCAAAAAAATAAATAAATAAATTGGAATTGGGTCACTTCTGGCTGCAGTGTGAACGCAGCCTCAAGTCTGACCATCTGTGGCCCTTTAAGTGATTTTGTACGGTTTCCTGACTAAAATGGGACAAATTTCCCAGATAGGCACAAACAGTGCCTATCTGGGAAACAAGAATGTTTTGAGAAAGTGATCGAAAGTCGGTTCTTGAGAAGAACAACTGACCCAAGTTTGGGCTCAAGTCTTAGGCCCATTTTATTTTTCAAAATCAATAATTACAGAACAATTTTCTACCAAAATTAGACTGCTTTGTTTCTGTCATTAATGGATCCCATGCCTGGTTAATTGTTAACCATGTTAAACAAAATTATGAAATTAAGTTTTTGCATTTTCTTTAAAAATCTAATCTTTGTGCCTCATGAGTACTTAAACTTTACAATTTCAGTCTGCATGACAACAAGTTGATCTTCAAACAGAAGTCTCCTCCTGTGACAGTGAAACACTCAGCAGGTTTCTATGAACTGTCGAAACAAACAGTGGGTGGTTGTTTGCTCTCCAGCACGTGGCTTTCTAAAATTAGAAGTCAAGCCTCAGTGACACCGATGCGGGTATTTCTGCTCAGAACGCCATGCTCATTTCACTCAGAGACGCAACCTCTTCATTATTCGGCTCCATTTAAAGTCCGAAGGGTTAATATGTAGCTGATTTTTCAGTCAGCTGTGGGATTTTATTCAAGCAACAGCCCACAGGCAAACACTGACATCATCAAGCTAATTCAGTCAATAAAGGAGGATGGACCACTGCTGCTGGGTTACATCGATAATTATCACAGTGTTGCAGCTCAGCCTAAACCACAGCTGACTGGCCATGAAACTGGTAAATCTATTTTATAGCACACACACAAAGGATAAATCAATAAATCAATGGCTTTGCTGAAAGCTTGTCAGGACTCTGTTATGAAATGAAGACGTATTAATTTACTTTCCGGTGAAACAGATTCCTTAGCTTTCATCGGTTTAATGAAAGCCCTGCTTCTCTGGCAAAGTCAGGAAGGCCATGTTCTCTTTGAAAGGCTTAAACAAACGGAGCAAAACAAATAACGAGTAAGCAAACAATCTATTGTTGGGTTGTAGAAGGGATTTCCTCTCCAAGAATGATGGAATATATTACAGAGATGCAAGGTTTTATATGGGGTTGAATACCTTTCTGCCATATGAAAAGTATTCATATGTCAGAAACATTAAGTTTGGTCATCTAAAACTTTCAGACCGGTGCGGCATTAGCTGGTTTAGAGATGTTTTGTCTCTAATGTTGTGAAGCCTTTTTGCTTTACAGTCATGAGACCGATGAAGCTTTCGTTTCTACCTTTTGGATTTTCTTGGGGTCTTTTACGGGGCCTTCCCGGGGCGGGATCTTCCCAAACAGCTTCCAACCCGGATCTTTCTGCTCCGGGGGATGACCATCCTTTACTTTCTTGGCAAATAGGTTCCTGAGAGAAGGCAGGGATCGAGAAAGTGAATTAGACTGGTGAAGAATTAGAAAAGTCAGACATCCTTTACTAATACATGACACTTACTATTGATGTTCATCATTAGTATCATCACCACTAGACTCCTCTGGACAAACATGCAGAGTTAGCATTAGCTGAATAGAAAGTAATCAACCACTCAGAATGATCGATTTCTCCAATTTAACTTTTTATAGGTATATGTTTGAGTAAAATTAATGCTCTTTTATTGTGAATAAAATGCTACGTTCGCCATGTGAATTACTGACAACATGTAAAAATGTTGTATTTGTTTGTAGAAAACGAGAAATGGTCAAAATAACAAACATGTCCAGTGCTTTTAGGCGTCAAATATTGAAAAGAAAACAAGTTCATATGCATTTAGAAATAACTACTAATGTTTTAGCTCAGGAAGAGTTCAGAAATCAATATTTGATTTCATAATCGGCAGTCTCTTCATTTTTGTCACAGCACACACTAAAATATATTTTTCCCATTTAAGGTGACAGTTCACTTCATAAAAAGTAAGCAGATTTTTCAGGGAATAACTTAAAGTATGGTTAGTTGTGGTATATATAAAATAGTCCATGTTGTGATATGACTTTTTTTCCATGTAACCCAGATTTATGCACATCTTATCCAGCGATTGCATTTTAGTCTGATTAATTTAGCAGTCTTGACAGCAACGGTCTAAAGATTTTATTCATATTTGAGAGCACTCTCTCATGAAAAACTGCACTCGATGCAAAACTAGCAAGTATTAAACCGCTGCATGTACACCTGGAAGGCAGAGGTTCTGTTTCCACCCTGGGTTCACTGCACCATTTAGCTCACTAATCCCATCATTTGCAGGCAGACAAGCAGCAGCTGCTGCAGGGGCAGTTCAATTAAAAGCCTCAATAGATTCTAAATATAGACTTGATGTAATCTGACAGGAGAAATAATGGCTTGTAATGTTAGAGACTCCTAATAATGGTGGTTTATTTGCGCTGCAAATCTCATTTGGAGAGCTTATTTAGAGGGCAGCTGGTTCACATTAGCAGGTGATAAATGATCAAACCAGGAAAACATAAGAAAGTGTTTGGCTCATGCCACAAGCAGTTCAAGGTCTGATGTTTAAAAAGCTGATAAAAATGTTTACGACTGAGTATTATAAGAATGTTATGGTACAACAATAAAAGTGGCCTGAAGTTGCCAAACAAATAATGCAACTCTATTCAGGGCTACTCGAGCTTCTCATTGCTTAACTGAAAATTAAGGATGTACTCAAATGAACATTTCAAATATGTATGATATTAGCATTGCTAATACAGCCAATAACCAATTACTCTTTAACCCTTTCACAGCTCCTGGACATCGGTGGTTATCAGACTAATATCGGTGTGTTAAAAGAACGACAACGGCCAGCAAGAACATTAATGCATGTACATTGTGCATTCCTAATGCAATGACATATCTCAGTCACTTGATATCCAATAATAATAAAAACAAAGATATGCCAAATAATTATCAGCCAATGACTGGAAATCCTCAAGGATCATCAGTACAGAAGTGGATTCCCAGCAGTTTCTATTGTAGTCTCTTTTAATTAGAATTACAATGGGACTTCAATGGTCTTCCTGGAAATCCATTGAAGTGACATCATGACAGATCACTAGAACATTATGTAGTAATATACAATTGCCTGAAAAAAAATTGTACACCAACAAAATATTACATACAAGCTTTACTTGTGGGCAGTATTGCAATAGCATCAGCTACAGAGTTACGGTGTGAATCTACAATGGATGTTCTGGCAATGCTAACTATTACTACTATAGGATGCTATAGCTATTATTTCATTTTGTCTTGAAATAATTGTAAAGCCTAGAACATAAAACAGTTCTTAGAAATCTGAATTGGCTATAAACAGTTATGAGTAAAAAGGTCTAATAAAGCTATAACGATGAGATGAATAAACACAAAAACAAAGAGAAAATTACAAACTGTTATTCTTTGGAGCTGACAGCAAATAGCAACATTAACTGAAAAGTAGAAGAGTGGATTTAGCGCTTTCCTATACCAGCACTCTGCACAGCTGTTAAAGACAACCTCAATTAGTATTTTCTAAAAACCCGCCACAGACATCATCTATACCTCACAAGTGAAAACATTGGGGAAAGATGACACTTTCGGTTTGACAACCTATAAACACAAGACCCCTTCTGTCTTGTATTCTGACTTTTCAACCATTGCATCTTCAGCTAATGTGTCAAGTTGTACTTCGCGTTCAATCACATCTTCATAGTAAAAGGTCAGGTATGACGCATCTACACAAATATGTCCTGTTGGATGCTGACATTTCACCCCACATTCCTCAAAGCAAAACATTCAATACAGGGCTGCTCTATTTTCCCACTGTGCTCTAGCTAAACTGAAGCACATGAAGCTAATAGCAGCAGCTCAAGGCGTTTCCTTATTATGTTGCTGAGTAAAGTTTGATGAGGGAGGAAGAACCCAAAAGATATATCAACATCTCCTATTTGTGGTTGGGAAATGGCAGAAAGTGACTTCTTTGAAGAAGTTTGTCTTTTATGACATCGAGTTGGCGCTCTTAAAAAAAAGACAGAACACAAATTCAGCATTGTGAGATGTTGAATTTGCCAGGTCAAGACGTTCCACTGGCAGCAATGAAGCAAGAACACAAAAACAGCAGGAAAAGCAAGCCAAATACTTTATGAAACTATCAATCTGATTTAAATGCTGATAAGTACTATCAGTAAACTGAGCTATTCTTAGCCTCAGGATGGAGAGGACAGATACTGTCAGACATTGAACTTGAGTAACTTTTTGAATCAAGACATAACAACCCAACATGGGTCAAAGGGCAATGGCCACCTACAGACTACGAGCCTTATCTTATAGTCTAAAATGACATAACAGAGAGTGAACTAAAGCTCTTCAGCAGAGCTTTAGTTTACTCCATCCAACCTCCACAAAGCAAGAACAACAATTTGCATTCAGTCCGGGCCAAATGTGCCTCAACATGACAGCTGAATGGCTGTGGCTGTGCTTGAGCGCTCGAGTGGAACGGCTACAAAGACCGACAGAAAAATGATTGCATGTTGGATCTGTGCTCAGATTCATCAAGTCTCAAGAACTTCAGAGGTTGACAGAGCTGGCGTACAGCCATGATTTCTGGGAATAAGTTTGCTCAAATGCTTGAGCTGGCAGCGAGTTCAGTTGTTACGGAAATACCAAACAAGCCAGAACAAGAAGGCATCAAGGTTTTCCCACGTCGGACAGCAGTGATGTGAACGCTCCAGGTCGTCTTCTCTAAAACACCTTATGCAGGAAAAACTATCAGGCAATCTCATCTTTTCATCATCGATCAGAATCAGGAGTTAATGATCAGCAACTTTTGTGCATCACAAAGCTTGTTGCAAATGTGCTAGCATTCATTCACCTACCTGTCAATGTACAGAAGAAGGGATGGAGTAGCCATCCTGTTCACTCGCCTCAAATCAAAGCCAAGAGTCACAAATGTAATGGCTAAATATTCACAGAGAAGACTACTCAAGAGCTCTGCCTCAGGTCAACATTCAGATCCGCTGATCTCACAGTTTGAACACAGGCTGCTGAAGAAGAATAAGAGAAGGAGCTAACTCCTCCTGAGCGTCCCCGCCTCTTCACGGAGATGCCTCGTACAAATGGGAGGAGGAAATGAGTAACTTCTCTATTGGAGGCAAGAATGATAACAGAACCGTAAAAAGAGGAGGGGACTGACGGGAGTGGCGGCCATGTGACTCATTATTCTATACAGAAACAGATTTCATTTGTTTATGAGTGTGTGTGCTTGACAGACTGGAGATTGCTTTGCTCACATTTTCTCCAGTTCAATGCGAGACTGAAACAAGCAATAAGTAGCAAAGGATCAACGTCCTTGGCTGTTCTGCATTTGATAGAAATCCAGAAGTGCCTTATTCTGAAAGGACAGTAGCAAACACACAGTAAATGACACTGCAGAACAAATAAGAGTGCCAAAAGAGTACCAAAGAAAAAGTCAAAAACTTAACAATCAACAGAGCATGAACTGAAAAACATTTCTTTGATTTAAGGTTTCAGTTCCTAGACTGAATTCCCTTAGTGAAAGTACCTGCTAAACCCATTTGAAGCAGTTTCAGAAGATCCAATTTAAGAAAAAGACTGGAGCTGCTGGTGGCAAAGTTCTTCTATTTACTAATAAATTAGTTTAAATTTATAATGTAAAATGTAAAAAAAATAAATAAATAAAAATTTAATTGAAAAAGGACACAGAAAACTTTGCATCAATGCCAGAAACCCTGCAGAGCTGGACAGCATTTATCTTTTAAGAAGTGAAATAGAGAAATGATGACTCAGTACAGATGATTTAACGGTTCTGCAGGTGTGCCACTGTAAATTCAAGGAACTTTCAGGGGTCTAGTAGAAAGTGTAATGTGGTAAAGCGGTGAGAGGAAGTGAAAGACAAGCTTTATAGAGACAAACCAAACTTAACAAGGCTAAAATCCTGTTAATCTCCAGGGCTACTATAAAGCACAGCTACAAACATATGAAGATTTATTAACCAGCTTTTCTGCTTTCTAAGAGTCAGTCCAGCTGGCACAAACTTTAAACAACAAGAATTTGACAATGACTGCAATATGTAAAGAAGTAAGCATTGATTGAACATCTCTGCAGAAAACACATTGTGAATCTTACCCAAAGCACAAAGTCCCAGTCAAAGTTGCATAAACAGAAAACCCAAGTATCCAGCTTAGTTCAATGGGTGGAAAAATTTACCTTTTCACAGATTTTATATATAATATATACTAAATACAATGATACTGGAGAAGTTAAAATACCTAGGCACAATGCTACTTGACAAGCAACAAGCAGGTGTTTTCAAAGCAGCCAATCCAATACATTCATGTATTCATTTTCCTTGGCACTGATTGACTGTAGCCTGAAGATTGGAGGCATAGAAGAACGTGGATGTTAGCTTCTGCAGTAGCACTATGACAATTTCCATCGTCTATTAATGCATTACTTAGTATTTGTGGATTTTAGCTATTCAGGACGTTATGGTTTCTAACCCCATGAATACCACTGAGCTGCTGTACTAAAATTTTGCACTTGATTGAAGAATTCAAATGCCTCATTAGATATTCACAAAAAACCTATACATAAAATCTAGACTCACTGAACCAAGATCTATTTTTTTAAGAAGTGGTGTGTGTGTCGTGTGAATGTTTCTACTTTGAGAACCTTTTCGCATCGAGGTGACAATAACTCTTACACACGTTTCACCATGTAGGGAACAAAAGCTCAGGGTCACTGATTAAACTCCAACATAAGGTAGTCATTAGGGGCAGGTCTTGGCCAAGCCAAGTTTGTACAACGACCTTGAGCAATGTCTACTTCAACAAGCTCTCTCAAGCACAGAACATGCTATTGCTTCACTAAGATGACAGCTATTTGCTTCCCCCTCTATTAGCCAGTATACTGATAGATATTTGTAGCTCTCTTTTTGAAGTCTAAGTTTCGAAGCAGAGGCTCAATCCAGTGTGAAGACAGTTGGCAACAACTTCAATGTCTCTCCTTAGCAAATATAGAACAGAAACTGTTTAAAAAAGAAAGAAAAAATAAGGTGACTATCTCAGAAGACAGAGCCAAATATCAATGCAAATTCAGTAGTAGTCATAGTGATGATGACGTCATTGACAACAAAATAGGTTCGTGTGTGAACACATGAGCAAAAAGTTCTGCAAAAGTCTGTCTACACAAGTGTTTGACTGCAATAACAGCTGATCTCTACCAAGTGTGTGAATGCAACATGGCAAATGTGTGTGCATGCCATGTGTGAATGCTAATAGTTGAGAATTTCACAATAAAATGGCAGAACAGGGAGTCACAATATAGTGATATGTTTTGACAGACACTGTGAGGTGGATACAGTTAAGGCTGCCACAATAAATTAAATTAAATTGAAAGAAGAGCAACAATCTCCATTTAGCCAACCGACTCTACAGAGATGCTAACCTTTGATATCGCTGAAAAGTTGCCATTTTGAGAAAAGTTGCGAGCGACCAGTTCAGACACTTCTTCCTGTTTCCTCACAGAGACTTCATAATTCATTTCACATATTGTTGTTTTATTTGTTCATTGTGAATATTGAAAATGTTTTCCAGTTCCAGTATTAAATCTTCTTTAGAAATGTAAGTTTTTGTTTATCTTTGACTGGGCAGACTTACATTTCTAAGTCTTTTTCTCAAAATGACAATAATAGTTTATCGCAATCATTTCTTGTACAATTGTCCAGTAAAATTTGTTGTTGTTACAGTGAGTGTTTACTTGCCTGTTGAACAAATTTGAAAAAGCCCCCAGTTTCTTGAGCTTTCCGTCGTCCAGGTACGTGCTGCCCGCTCCTGGACGCCCTCGCCCGGGACTCCAGAATTCTCCCAGCGGCGGCGACAGCGCCACGTCCGAAAAGTGGGCCGAGCCGCTGAGGTCCGTTTCCAAGGTTACTATGGCGCTGGACTGCGAAGTGACGGTGAAGTCCAGGATGTCCTCGTTGGAGACGGACAGCTCGGTGCTCATGCTCGACACGCTGCACACAGAGATGTCGTCGCTGCGGTTCAGGGCTCCGCCCCCAACGCTCAGCCCCGACGCGGCAGTCAGTCTGACGGTGGGGCTGAAGTGTCGGACAGAGTCGTAGCCGCTGCGGGGGAAGGTGGAGGACCTGTGCATGCCATTGATGTCGGCCGGGTTATCGTCCAGAGGTAAAGTGGCGGGACAGTCTTCAGCGGCGTCTCCCAGGTGATGGTGACCGTGGTTTGGAGGGTGGATCTCCAGAGTGGGGATCCCCGAGTCCTGAGAGGTCAAGCTGTGGCGGTCGGGGTCCAAGTCGGAGCAGGTTTTCTGGGGACTGCTGTAGTAGATGGGAGTGGAGGAGCAGGATGGCTTGTAGCTGGGCAGGACCAAGTCGCTGACTAAAGCACAGCTGGGTTTGTCAAGCGAGTTGGAGGCGCTCGATTCATTCCCCAAAGATCCGTTCTTCACAACGACTCCAGCAGACACCCCTAGACAGAGCAGAGAGTACAGTTTTACACATCACTTCAACTGAGCTTGTAATGCATCAACTAAACATAAAACTTAAGAAGAACAAACCAGCTCTGGCGTCCATTTGAACTGCCTCGTTTTCCAATTTGAAAATTACTGAACATAGGGCTGGTAGATAATTCCAGGTGTCTTTAAAGAGCAGCCATTTTTAATGATTGTTCACTTTCACCATTAAACAGCAATATTTTTATGAGTCACCCAAGGTCTCTTATTTATCAACACAAGAAGTGCAAATACAGTAATAAAGAGCTGAATTCAATACTCAACCCATTTACCAGAATCTGTTCGGAAATCTCATGTCGGTGTAAAGATATAATTTATATATAGGATATATATATATATATATAGGACAAAAAAACAAAAAAACAAAAACAAAAACAAACAAAAAAAAAAAACACTTAAGATAAAAGTACTTTTTACCACAGAGCACATTCACGTCACGATCCAGTGAATACACACCATGTTTGGAATGAGACATTGTCAAGCTATGTAATGATTTATAAAGCTAGAGATAAGCACTTTGCATTCTGATTTTAAAAGGGCTTTAAAATGTAGAAACATCTTGACTGATTTCTTTTCAGTTCAGCTCAAAGCTAGGAATCACTGCTTTAGGCTGTGGAAGGGGTGTGGGGTGTTATCAGGAAGGATCAGAACAGGTGGAGAACAAAAACTGGGAGGGTCTCACCTTCTCCAAATAAATCTGATTCTCACTTGTGTGAGAGCCATTAAAGTGACAATTGCATGATTCTACAACATAAATCAGTTTTATGAGACTTAATTCAGTTATCACTTCCTTGTAAATAAAACCAGGAATCAACTTTAAACCGTCAGTGAAACCCTTCGCAATGTAAAGAACACTGAAAAATATTAGATCGACAGTAAATTTTAAGGAGGTTTTTAATGACTAAGACACAGGACACAAAAGAAGGAAATTTAATGCCACAATAACCAGGCTGTAACTGGAGCCTGGAATGTAATGTGAACAGAGACCCAGCTGGGCTACATCAGGGTTTTAACTGCAGCTTTGTGGAGTGTGTGAGTGAACAAAGTGAAACATTAACACGGAAAAAAACACCAGCAAGATGGTAGCCAGTCGGCCGGTTCAGCCAGGTTCCCCAGCCCAGATTCCTGCCCAGCTCTAAAGCCCTGATCTGCTGGCTGCCATGTGAGTCCCGCAGGCTTTTTTTTTTTTTTTTTTTTTTTTACAAAACTATGCGTCAAGTTGATCCTGCGCCACAGTGGCCGTAATCTACCAGAAACTGTTTTTTAGGCCTCAGCAAACACAGAAGTGGAGAAATGTCGCGTTTTCAAAGCTTTAAGAACAGCCGGACTTGCAGAACGGCCCGTTTGAATAGATGCACAGACCATGCTCCATGACTCATCGGATCAATATTAACCAGCGAAGGCATTTAATCTCTACACTGACAGCATGACAAAAGCTGGAATATGGGCCAAGTCATTTAGGTGTTGCCTCTGAAAGAGGAAACAATATTAAGCAATGCCTTCGGGTTCTGCACTTAAAACAGGTTTTCTTTTTTTTTTTAAGAAAAGCTATTTGATTCAACTAAGACAACATTTTTGCTACAATTGCTTGGGTATTATGATGCTCTATTTAAAACCGGAATTAACTTGATAGTTCTGGTTAAATAAAATTATTTTGCACTCATTTTTTTAGTCCACTTAACTCATGATTTAACAAAATCCCAAGTTCAGGCAAATCTAACTTTTAGTCTTTTGGCTGTTCCTATAATTTTAAATTTAAGTTGATGTAATTTTTTATTCCACATTTACTGAAGACATTTAACTTTTAAAAAAATCTGCTGAATTCAATTTTGTCAAATGTCATTTGTTGTTTTTCAATAGTAAAATAATTGTTATTCATCTGAAAATGAAACTGAATGTCATAACTCATACCATTGAGGTATCTTCATTGGATGGCGATGTTGTGAGTGGGAAGAAGCTCCAGCAGCTGTCAGTTTTGCAACTAATTTGAAAAGGCCTCTGACTGAAGACTGGTGTATCAGCCTCATTAACAGTCCAATTTTCAGGCAGTAGAGACAACGTTCCACAGTGACATGTCCTGTAAGGACACCACCAGTTGTTGGCAGACATTGATACTCCTCCTCATGCTTTTGCCGCTCCTGTTTAAATTTCTACCTTGGTTGCATGGCTAGGAAGCCACTGTGACCTTTTGATGGAAGAGACCATAGAGGGACCGTTACAAGTGATTTTCATTCTGATTACTGAGAAGAAGAAAAAATCCTGCATCCCAGTGTGCTGGATGTTGTGAGGGAAAGTAGCAAATTTATAGCAACAGTTAAATTTAGCTGGATCGCGACTTTTTATAAATGTTAATCTGTTTCAGAATTTCTGCTTTTTCATTGACTTTTAGACCAACACAAAGTTATTATGTTGTCCTCTGAAATATACTTAGATTATTACATGTATCATTTTTACAGGTTGTCTACACTGAACTGAAATGCATTTTTTTAAAAAGTTAAAGCTAAACAAAAAGTTGATTTCATCTTTCCAACTTGCGTGGCTCGTTTTAAACGAAGAGGCCGAATTAATGGCACACTTCATTAACGCGCAAACAGAAAGCTTTTAGGTCTTGGGAAGTTCGCTGCTGACAGTAAATGAGAGAAATGTCTCAGTTTCACCTCTTTTTTCACGCAGTTTGGCGAACATTAAAAAAAAAGGGACCGAGACTCGAGGGCGGCACATCTCGAGTCAACACGTTTAAACAGAGTTGCCATTTGAACAAAGTGGAACAAACTGCCTTTACCAGGGCGGCCGTCCATCTGGTCCTCTGGGCCGAGGCTCTGGTTTGCCATGCCGCGGCCGGCGGACGCTACAGGTGGATGCCAGGTGGCGTCCGCTCGGAGAGATCCATGATGATGCCGGGGGCTACTGCGGCTCCACCGTCGCTCCCATGGCTCCGCCACACGAACGGCTCTGGCGGGAGGTCATCCGCTGTCACGTAAAGTCACTGCAGGTGGCGGGGGGAGGTGAAACAAGCGGCGGGTAAACACAAGCACCACGTCGCACCACGTCTCTTCCTCAGAGTGCACTTGCTGCTGCTGCTGACGCCAACTCACTTCTCTCAACAGCGCTTCCTCAACTGGAAACAAACGTCAACTACTTTTATAGTGTCATTTCTATGCTAGCATCAAAACGGGAGAGGAAAGCGCTGTCCGCTACTTTATAAAGTGTACGAATGGCACATTTGAACCTTTACGCTGGAACGGTCTTATTTTTTATTTTTTAAACCTTACCTGTTTCGTCGCTTCCGCCGCCATTTTAATACAAACTTGTACGTGGAGTGCGGCGTAATCGAGTCAAGAACCTCCGCTGTCGATAGATTCACCTGTCTTGAACCTGAAGGCATTAATAATCAACCTACGTCACCTGCACACCCGGTCAAATGCTATTCGTCCCATTTGAACTCATTTTTTCCCCCACTACAACCAGAAACCTCAATGTATTTGTGGGGCGGGGGAGGCGGAAGCCAAATGTCGCGTGGGTTTTAGTGACACTTTTTGTCACCTGATAAATGGTCAAAAGTCCACCTGGATTTAATCCCGGCAGAAATACAGCTGTTTTGTCAAGGCTTTGGAGTGTTGCAGTCCGTAAGGGAACAGAGAACAGGAACACTTCAGACAGGTCGGAGGTCAAGTTGTGAAGCAGTTTAAGGTTGTATTTTAAATCTTCAATAAAAAAAAAAAAAAAAAAAAAAAAACATGGCTGTACACCCCGACATTGGCGCCCTCAAGGCCGGGCCATGGCCACCCTACTGCCCCCTCCAGGGAATCGTGTTCAATTCATGAACAAAGGTTTAGAGAATCATCTGCAATCAAGCAGAACCAAATAAATACATTTGATTTATTTTTGTTTTGATTTCTGTCACCCAAAATTTTTACTGGCTTGGTCACCATCCTAATTTTTTCTTCTAGGGGTCCAAACTTATCAAAGGGAAGGAAACCAAAATGTATCTTTTTTTTTTGTACCCAACAAGCAAAACACTATTTTCACAACCTTCCGACTGTGAAACATGGCAGTGGCAGCATCATGAAGCAAAGGATAATTATTCTCTCTCCCTCCCAACAGGGACAGAAGCTGGTCTGAGGTGATGGGAACGTAGAGAGCACAAAACTCTGGGATTAAAACTAGTGATCCATCAGAATGACCCTGAAATATGTGATAATGGTTTTGAATAATATATATTCATAGTTTAGAGTGGCCCTGTCAAAGTCCTCACTCAAATCCAATAGAGAACGTGACACAGGACTCTACAACTCACTTCAAAAACCTTTTTCCGCTGTATGTGAGCTTAGACTGTTTTTGTAAACAATAGGCAAAAAAATTCAATCTCCAGAAAAGAATGGTAGCTCTTATTGAAGCTAAAGCAACTCTAAAAAAAAATATGGTCTTCCAAGGGATCGTCTTAAGTGACGTTGCTAACTGCTGTAAGTTGGACTGAAAAAAAAGTTGTTGAACACTTCACAATGGAGGCTAAACTGACCACATTAGTTCACTTAAAAATATGCAGAGCACAATAGCATAAGTTTGCAAATGTAGTTCCAGCTTGAAACATAAACTCACTCTCTAGTGCCACCCAGAGGTCACATAGTGGAAGTGTACAACTGGTACTTGGAACAAAAACAAGCCACTCCGACTGAGGTTTGCTTTATTCATTTATTAGATGTTAAGGAACTCCACAATGAAACAAAATAATTTACTCATGGTGTACATGAAATTAGAACACATCTATTAGGGTCATAAAGGAAGAGGGAGGGGTTTGGAGGAGCATCTTTCTGGGTGGGAATGAAAAGACGAGGAAAATTCTGATTTTCAGCATCGTATGGCGGTCTTCAGGCTGGCACTTCAGACCAAAGTGTCGGCCAGACTCAGTGAAACTTCGTCAAAAAGTCCATCTCCTTTCAAAACACGTCACACAATCACTGAATACATTTTCCTGCCAGACAGGGATTCATGTTCCTTTCCTTGTTTTAAAACAGCTTATTCAAAAAAATGAAAGTTGAGGAGAAAGATGTGATGCAATCCATCCAATGTTTTTTTTTTGTGACTGTTTCTCGCACACATTCACGCACGCACACACGCAACATTCTCTCACCAATTTAAACCTTTAACTAAGATGTGTTTCATCCAACTTAAAGCAATGGAGTGTGACGTTTGCATGCTTTATTTCTCAGAGACATTCCACTGTGTTCTCAGGCATCCCTCGCTCAAAAGTAGCCCCGCATGCAAAAACTTTAAAATAAAAACAAAAAAACAAAACAAAAAAATAATCAGCTGCATGACTTGCGTCCGTATACTTTAGAAATCTTTTACATGCGCCAACGTATTGCATAGAACTCAGGGCTCCTGAAATTCCCTCCCACGCCGTTTATGCAATCAATGGCTTCGATTTTTTTATTTTATTTACTTTTTTCGTATTTAAAACTATAGCTCTACATTAATGACAGTCATTACAGCGGTATGCTTGAAAACAACGTCTGCCACCAATTCCTGCTCGACAAAAAAACAAACATTAATGCATCACTGCACTATCACAGGTCTGAGTGTAGATTATGCTTATATTAAAAAATTCCTGAGTATCTTTGACTGTTAAGGAAAGGGGACGAGACCCTGAAGTTAAGTTTGCTTCGTTTCACTACTCGATGGGATTTTTTTTTTAATTTTTGTATTTTTTGTTAATTGAAGTACCACAGGGCTGAACTATCATTGGGTTTAAACAACATTCACACTCATGACGATACAGATTTTTAGTAGCCTCACTTCTGTGGTACTTGAGATAATTAGTTCACTCATGTTAATCTCAATCGTCACGGAAAATAATTTTTGATGAAAAATAAAAAAGAAAACCGCTTTCATTCAAATTTTTTTTTTAAGCGTGGAAAACTTCAGAGTTTCTAGATAACAGCTCAAAGGGCGGAGCGGGAGGAGGTGTGGTTCCCAGTTACTGCGCAGAAGCATTTCTGCGGCCGTTCCCGTTTCTTGGAAGTTAAAACTTTTATTACACTCAGTATGAACCAGTGTCTTCACAAGTTCTACACCATCACACACAAAACAGAGAAGACACGAGTCAGTATTTCAAAAGATAAACCCAAAAAAAAGAAAAAGAAAAAAAACAAAAAAAACAAAAAACACCCCACGTAGGAAAAACAAAATAAATCTGTGATTTAGAGTACTTCCTCTTTGTTTTTTTGGTTAGACTGTTGCCCGGCCACTTGTTACAACACGGTTTGCTTCCTTTGTGTCTGCTGTGATGTTGTCCTTTCCTTTCTGCCGGCGGGGGCTTTGAACTCAAAAAGACGTGTTCAAACGTGAATTTTTTTTTTTTAAAACATGTCTACTAGTCATTAAATTAAAGGTCAGAAAGAAAAAAAGAAAACAAGCTTATGTTAAAGTAAGAACTGTGTTCGGTCATAAATTCTCACTAAAAATATTTGCAAAAAAAAAAAAAAAAAAAAAAAAAAAAACCCGAAGCATTTCTGGAGTCTGGCTAGAAACTGTCATAAATGTATCACAGCCAGATTTATTGAACTTCAAAAGATTTTGGAACATTTTAATAGCACCAATGTTTTGTACCATAGAATTCACAAAAAAAAAATTAAAATAAAATAAAATTAGAAAAATGTTTCAACTGCAACTCAGATGTCTGGAGAGATGGCTGCAGTTGGGCCACCTTATGAAGGCTCTTTAGCTCAAAACCTTTTTTTTTGTCTTTTTTTTTTTAATATGTAGATTACTTTTAAACCAATTTTGTGTACAGTATTGCAATTTGTGGGAGACCACTGGTATTGTTCCCCCGACAAAACATTAATTTATGGTTATTTTTATGTTTCAAAGATTTTTTTTAACCTCACAAACCACACTATATCTACAACTAGCTCTTTAAAAGACTATCACCATTCAAAACAAACAAAAAAAAAAAAATCAGACAACTTTTCACACACAGGGAAGTTGAGGATATTTAGAAGAAAGCTGAGCACATTCTCTACTTTGCATTCAGAAAGTTGCACAATCAAGATAAATTAAACTCTCAAATCCGACACAGAAGTCAAATAAAAGGAAAATCTTCATGTCCTTGTATTTTCTTTCTGAATCTAACATGGAGAAAGTAGAGAATGTGGCAGCACTTGTTTCACGCAACATCTGTTTCAACTAGAAAAAAAAACAACAGGAGTGAGACTGCCTGGACGAACAAAAACATGCACAACCATTCAGACGGCACCGACCACCAGAAACCTTGGTTCGCTCTCAAAAAAATGGTGGGAACGGAATAGGACAAGGATAGAACAAAAAAGAAGAAGAAGAAAAAAAAAAGAAAAATAGAAGCATCTCTACAAGCTAACTGTGAGATTTGAAAAAGGACTGGTGTGCAGAATAATCATTGCATCACTCAAAGACAGAACTTTTTTTTTTTTTTTTTACCTTTTTTCACTCTTTTTGTTGATCTGATTGTTGATTACACAAGGTTGTTGTTTTTACGTTAGTAAATGAAAAGCCAACAGGGTTATGTGTTGGGACAGGGAGGATTTGGAGAGGGAGTCTCAGAAAAATTAGCCTACGTTAGGTTTTCCTGAATCTTTTGCTGGTAGAGGTCCAGTCCCAAGACTAGAGGAAGTTCTCCTCTCAGTGACAGGTGTCCTCCGCAAAACTGGAGAAGTCAAATGTTGCTGCTCCCTGGGGAGAGAGAGGGAGGAAAAAGAGGCAGAATAGAAAAAAGTTCAAGATACAGCAAATGAAGTTGTTGGATTTTTTTTCTTTTTTTTGATGGACTGAAAAGGGTGTCTTCCATGAGTGAAAAGCTGAAGATTTTTTTTCTAAGAACAGTACAGTAAATATTATATAATGTGTATTACATATTACATAACACTAGTTTCTTTTATTAAACTACTAAATTTATGGCCTCCCTTTCCTAGTTCTAGTATTTATTCTAGGGTATTATCTTTAAATTCAGTGGTTCACTGAGATCATTCTCCACTTCCTAGTTGTAAAACTACAGAATGCAATGAGACATAAACCCCACCAGATGGCACTGTGGAGCAGAATCTTCGACAATTAAGTGACTCGAGATTTTTAAATATTAAAATGTTTTTGCTTGAGCTTGATATTTAACAGACAGCTGACAAAGTCCATAAATCAATCAGAAGCTTTTGAATTTTTAGTTTAGAAATATGAGTCCATATCATAAATGAATTAGAAAGGTGCATTAAAATAAAAACAATTTGACACTTGTTTAAAATTGTATTTCAAAGTTGGGAGAATCCCATCACTTTAAAGCTTTTACAACTTTCTGGTGCTTAAAAAACAAATTAGTGACAGCAAAGCTTAAATATCCTCTATGTGATGTCAAGAGATAGCGAGTTTAGGACAGACTTGCCAGACATAATAGCCAAGCAACAACTTTTTAACCCCGAAATGGTTAAAAACCAGTTTTGAAGTGCAACATAAAATGATATTTAATATTTTCTACAGCTGTTATATTTTTACCCACATAAAACTCCTGAGATTATTTGTAAAACCCCTGAAAAATTTAACTTTTTTTGTGCTTCACTAACCTTCATACCTGTCATTACAGCTTAGAATACAACAGAGTAAGAAAATTAGTTCTATGTACTATATGGTTTTTAGCAGCCGTCATACTATCTAGTTATTATGCAAACAAAATGAAAAAAAAAAATAAGTATTTGGAGCATGTTCCTCTAAAAAGATTGTTTGGGAAAAGACTAAACTGAAGAAAATCTACCAGGCTTTAAGAAATAGCCTCTCGACTGACTATTTTAAAATATTAATATTAATAATAATGTTTTTAGTCAGGTCACTTTCACAGGCCAACTCTTACTTTGTTCACTACTACATTGGTTGCTATGAATATATGAACAGAGCTTGTTAAATTGTACTACTGAGTGTATTAAACCACAAAAAAGGAAAACAACAGATTACCCTGTAAAATGCAATGAAAACTAGGGAACAACTGGGTTAAGTTTAGAGTTAATCTGATAGAAAAAGCTCACTTTGAAATCTGGACTTACCTGTACACTGAGAACCAGGGAAAAGGGGGGAACAAATTGTGTTCTGCCACCAGAACTCATCTTGCTGGCTGTCAATTCCTCCCTGACCACTTCTATTTAACAGAGGGAACTAGAAACAAACAAAAACAAAAAAACATAGCAAACATTCAATAAATGTTTCTGTGAAATTCACAACCGCAACAATTTGTGAACCTTCATTACCTCTTGCATGTCGCCAACATAGTCATAAGCGATCCCATACTTGGGGGTCTGACCTGCCGGTGAGCATACATGGGGCTGCTTCTCCTCTGCAGATTCTTCTTGTTGAATCTTGCCCACATCCACCTGTTCGCCTGCGCTCGGCACGGCCGCTGTTGCCGTTTTGCAGCTCAAGCCGCTCTCTTGCTCGGCAATTGGCAGAAGGGTACTTGAGCCCTCCTGCGAATCCAGAGAGGTCTGGGCACTCTTCTCCATGCCAGACTTCTTTAATCTTGGTAAAAATTTACCAGATTCCAGTTCTGACTTCCCGTAATAAGGTCCCTCGCATTCGGCGTCCTCCTCCAGAGGTTTGAGGTCGGCCTGAGGATCGTCGAACACATCCACCGGTGCCGCGATGGGAAAACTCATCTCTTCTTTGTCGGTCTCGGCCTCCGAATCACTAACACCACCAGGAGACAGCTCTGAGGCCGATATTGGTCGGAAATGAGTCCTGGGTGAAATGCGGATGGCTCTGTACTGCGTCCGGTTGATGCCATAAATTCGAGTGTGGAAGGCTTCACTCTCTGAATCCGAGCAAAGAATAGATTTGGGCTTGAATCCCGGACTGAAAGAAGCCATATCCTCAGGCTCAAAGGAACACTCGACATGGAGGACTTGAGAGAAGGGATTGTTCAGGTTGAAGGATGCAAACGGGTATTCTAGACCTTGCTCCTCTCTGTGCAAGCCCCCGTATGAGCCGAGCAAATCTTCATGGAAGATCAGAGAAAATCCCTTATTCAATCCGTCTCCGCCTCCTTTAATGGCCTGGTCGCTCTGCCCAAAGGAAACGAGGGGCCTCCATAGGGGCCGGTGCCCAGGGGCGAAGCGGCTGCTCGTGTTCATGAATACATCTCTGCCCGTGATGGTCAGCATGTCGGCGCTGGACGCGGAAGCAGCAGCGGCGGCGCACTGTAGCAAGCTATCTTGAGTATCGCTCGGCGGCACGACCGCCCAGTTTTTATCGCCGCTTAGTGTTTTCAACTCTCCATATACTCCTCCGAGGATGAACGCTGAACTTTCCTTGTCGGAGTTCAAGTCCCAGGGCTTGGACGGAGTCATGTAATCCCCAGCGGCGTCTACTTTGGAGAGCTTGTTTTTGGCCAAGTCCTGTTCTTCTTTCTTGCCATCCCAAAGGCGATACTCAGATCGCTGCACAGCCTTTTTCTGAGGTCCCTGAACAGAAACTCCTTTAGTCTGGACCTCCAGACACCGGCAACAGCAAGTGTCCGACTCATCAGAGAAGAGCCCCTTGCCTGGCTTGTCTGCCCCGTGCTTCGATGCAGCAAATTTCCCATCTCCTATGGCGGTCCAAATGTCTTTTATAATCCCTGAGCTGTAATCGTCACTCTGTTGGTTCGCGTTGTCTGAAAACACGTCTGTGCTGTACGGTTTGCTCTCATCCCTTTCTAGTGCTATGCCACAAATGGACTCTAATTTAGATTTTTTGGTAAAGGTCTGATTGGGTGCTGTACTGACGCTGACATTTTCACACTTTTTGCCCGAGTCCTCCTGCAAAAACTCCAAGATTTCATCTTCTAGATATGTACCCGACAGAGGAGGAGGGATGACTCGGTCCGGTTCATCTCTGCAGAACGGAGCGGCATCCTCTGCCAGAGCATTGCCCTGCTCGTTGTCCGACCGAGTCTCCTCTGAATGCGACCATGGGCTGCAAGTTCGCGTCGATAGATTCGAACAGTGTTCCGTTTCGTCAAAGGCACTATTTTTGGTCCATATTAGCAAGCGGGACTGCTTATTAGAATGCGGGTCGAGACAGCTACTAGAATTGGTGTTTTCGTGACTGACAGAAAGCGGGTCTCGGGGGAAGGGAAAAGTGGCGCCATCACACTGCACCTCGAAAAGGGAGAAGCAGGATGAATCCAAAGCAGATGCTTCACTGGGAGCTTCAGGAACGGCTGGTTCTTCTAGTGGTCTGGATAGCTTGCTCAGAGTCAACGACACGCTATCCAGCAGCGGAGAGAGCCGGACGGGAGAGTCTCCAAGGAAGCTTTCCCCGTCTATGTCTTCGGAAGAAGACGGGGAGTAACACCCCCATACATGTACCAAGTTTTCAAAATCCTCCATTAAGAACCCAACAGTTCCCGAAGCTTCCTGTGAGTCTGCCTCTATTGCACTTTTCCCTTGCTGCTCAAGGCCATCTAACACTAAACAGCACTCTGCCTCATTGTCTCCTTGCTCTTTGCTTTTCTGTCGAATCAGGCTCAAGATCCGACTCTCTTGTATCGTGTCTGAGGCACTAGTATCCAATATGGATTGATAAATATCGACTTCATAGAAGTCAGTGAATTCAGACAGATGCTTGTCATCTAAATCTCTACTATCTTCTGGCTGAGGGCAGCGCAAAGTGTCAGTGAGGTCGGCGGGTTCGCTCTCCGCATCGCCAGGCGCTTCCACGAAGTGCCCATCCACAAATGAGCCTGCTGGTAGATAGGCCCGCTGGTAGCTCTCGCTGGCAATGCAGATTCCCTGGATTTTTTCGGGCAGCCTTTCCATTTCCGCAGAAAAGTCAAAGCCGTCCGGAGAGCCCACCTTGCTGCGATACTTCGTTTCAAGCTTACTTCGACAGCTACTGAATGGTACAAAGTACTCCGTGATGGGCTCGGTGTACCACAGGGGCTCCTCCTTGTACTCTTTTTTGTTTCTGGCCTCAACTGCAGACTCCCTCGCTTCCAGCCAGCCCAGCTCTTTACGAATCTCCTTCAACGGTCTTTTCCCCTTCTTATAAAGCTGTGGTTGTTTAGCAGCGCTGCTGGTCGTGCCGCCACCACTCGCTCCTACGTTTCTTCTTTCCTCCTTATCGATCACCTTCATCTGCAGCTTCACCTGCCCGTTGTTGCGTGTCCTCTTGTTCTTGGCAGCCTCCCTGGATTTGTGCCTTACTCTAACTGTTTTGCTTCTGGATGACTTTGTGTCACCCTGATTCCCGCTGGAGCTCGACCCTGCCTCACTAGAACCAGAAGACCAGGATCTGGGTCGATATTTGCCCTCAGATCTGTGTCTGATCTGTCTCTTAGAGTGGCTGATGGTCTTCTCCTCAGCTGCTGCGCCACCATGGCATCGGTTTTCCTTCTCTTTCTTGCTTCGTCGTTGCTGGCCTCTCTCGCTGGTCACAGTAGGAATGGTACCACATGCCTCGAGGTGTCGCTCTTTTGCAGCCTCGCCGTCACTGTTGCAGTCTTTGGGGGAGGAGGTGTCCGTGCTGGTTTGTGGAGCTGCAGAGGATGATGAACTGGAGTATGTGCAGGCCTTGGCCTTGTTCCACACCGTCATGATCTCTTGGAGACAAACAGGTTTCTCTGACAAAGGAGGAAAGGCTTCATAGTACCTGCAGTCACATGAAATAAGGAAAGGGAGATTTAATTGTTATTAACTTGTGACAAACTATACATAAGTTAATAAAAGACCACAAAGCTGAACAAATCAAATTAAACAAGAAAATGTACAACTACCAAGATAATGCTGTACTTGTGAAAAGCAATGTTAAAAAATTACATTTGCCTGCACATTTCGGCCAACTTAACCACGCTTTATTGTCTATCAAAGGGATTTTTTTTTTTTCAAATGAGACTAAAATTAAATCCGATTAGCTGCAACTCGGCAGTTGTGTATCATACTGACAATGAGTTCAAGATCAAATCTATTTTAAAGGATTTTGTAGAGAAGATCCAAAGCAAGTTCAAAAATCTATTCACCATCCAAATTTATTTATTCACTCATAATGACACAACGGCAAAAAAACAAACAAAAAAAAAAACTAAGAATTCAGTGTTCATCTGTAATAAACTCAGAAAGTCAATATGAGGAAACACATCCACAGTATTCATTTCATACATTTGCTGTTTATAAAGATTTAATTTAAGTATAAAATGTAAAAATAAATTACAATCAGACTTCAAACTTACATTTCCACCTGGTCCTTAGAAGAAGGCGAATCGACACGTTCTGGTGACTGACAGCCATCCGATTTCTTTTGAATGTGTTTCTCTTCTGGAAAACGATAAAAAAAAAACCCATCTTACTAAGGTTACCATGCGTGATCTTTTTCTTTGTCAAAACAGCAGCGCAGCAAAGACAGCTGAGCAGGAAAAAAAAATTGTTTTCAAACCTTTCTGTTTGTTTTGGATGTCCTTAAGTTTAGAGCAAAGCTCTTCAACCAGACTCTCAATTCCAGAGTTCTGCACAGGAGACAAAAACAAGAGGAATATCTGAGATTCACATCTTTCCAGGAAACCAGTTAACAGTATGTGGCTACTGTTACCTATTGCACACTCAATATGTATGCATGCTGAAATTTGCCACATTTCAGCTATTAAAGACATGTTCCAGAAAATAAAATGACTGCAGTCTGTTTGCAAGTTGTAGTTGATCTAATAAACTAATTTGAAACAGCAGAGGGAACACACAGCATGCACTTCGCTAGGTTTGCATGGCAGTAAAAAAACTATTTTACTGGATGATAAATTGTCCCAGAAATTATTGTGGTAAGATTGTCATTTTGAGATCAAGTTGTCCCCCCAAATATTGGGGTGTGGGGGGGGGGAATAAACACCATAGTCACAGTAAATGCAAAGTAAAATGCGGTTTAAGAAGTTTTTAAGACCAAATATGACAAGTAAGCAGTAATGCTCAAGCATGTGTTTTTCTCAGTAAGCAAACTACTGAGACCCATAAAAGTCTAACTAAAATTTAGATGCTTAGATGCGAGCTTGATTCAGTGGCACAGATATAATCCTTGGTACACCATTACAAAAATTTAAGGTTATACATAAAAAGTTTTAATGAGTAACTTCACTTGATATAATTCCTCATAAATATTGGTTTATTGTAGTGGCTTTCAATACAAGTTGCATGTTATTAAATTATAATAAGTTGCTTTATTGTTTTTTTGGTTTTGCCATGTCCTGGAACTGAGAATCTAAAAGTAGGTGGAAATAATGAAGATTTAGTTTAGTTTATAACTAAAACTTAATGCTCAAAGCACTGGGCTTTCATAGAAAAATATCCACATTTCTTTTGTGCATGTAGTTTTAGAGGCTTTCTAAAACTACATGCACAGGTAAGAAATAAAACCATACATTTTTGTTTTTCTCTCTCTGAGCTGTCGGCAACTGAGCTGTCGGCTAGTTGCTAGTTGAGGGACTAGTTATCTTAATCCCTCCCGTTTCAAACTCTTCTCATTAACATAAGAATTAAAGAGCTAAATATAATTGATATATTTGCTACCTTCGACAAAAACGTTTAAGTCTATCAAAGCAATGCAGTCTGTTTTGCTAGTTTTGATTTCCAAGGCATAACGGGGCAGTTTATATGAGTCAGTCAAAGTAATGAAATAATGAACTGCAGTCTGATTTTTATTGTTACTGTGTTTCTTACTATTGAGCAGTGGAAGTAAATAAAAGGTTTACATGTCTTTGCTTCAAATCTTTACTTAGTGTTTGTTGTTAGTGCTGCAGAGCCACAGTAACAGCTCTCAGTCTGTGCGTCCGTTCAGAGCTGACGTTGCTCCTACTGCACTTTGGACTGAACCATTGTTCCAACAATGGCTAGGGTGGACCTACAAATTAATTCTTAGTTTTTTCTTTGATGAATGGTGGATTTACTTCATTCTTCCGCCTTTTCATATTGATATTGTTTAAATGCAAAAGTTATTTTTATGAGTTTTTTGCAGAAGACAAAGAAGAAGGTTGAAATATTCTCATATTGTAATTAAATCTTTTTTTTTCTTAACTAGAAAGAACTATGTGCTTTCATAAAATGTTGCAGCGATATCAGCGAGTCAGATATTTTTTAGCATGGGCACAGAGTTTAAAATTTGAGTACTCTACATACAACTCAGAAAGGCCAATTATCTTATCTGATTTGACGGAAAAAAACAAGCTGACTAATGCTGAGGAAAGAATGCTTGTACTAACAAAGTAATGAAAGGCCAGCGGCTACGACTGCAGCCAGCTGATTTGTGACACTATAGCCATGTTCATTTAACAGGAGCGCACATATCCTTCCAAAAATAAAGAAAGCAGCAGAACAGTGAGTTTTATGCACTGCATTCTCCGGTTAACATTTACTGCAAACACATCCTTGTAATTTACTGCTTTCTTAAATTAAGCGACACAATGTGAATTACTTCATTTACAAACTTAGGGCTTGTAATCAACAAAAACCACAAAGCAGCTGCTCTTGTTTCCAACCCGACCGATTTTTGCTGTGCTCCGGTCTGGTCCAAAATAGAAAGTGTTGCTGTAGCGCTTCGCTCCGGTCCTTTTATTTCCTCCTGCATAGCTGCTAATGCCGGTCAGCTGACAGCCAGCCGGCTTTGCTGCAATCACATGCAGCGCTTACTGCTTAAGAAAAGAGCACAGAGTCCGGCCCCCAAAGAGGAGCATGACACCGCTCCCGTGTTGCAGACCTTTCTCTCCAGCTTTTTATGTTGAATTGACAAAAGCAAGCCGCCATTTATTCATGAAAACACTATTTCTGTTTCCGTTTTACACAGAAACAAAAGTGTGTTTTTCTGCTGGGTTGTCCTAAAGCTTTTCTTCTGTTCCTTCTGGTCTTCATTAATTATAAAACACAGGCAGCGTGGCTTTTTGCTTGGTGAAAGCTGAAGTGCTGACCTGATGATGAGAAAAGCTACAGCCACCCTGCCAAATAAGGTGACGATGCATTTTCAGTTCAGATCTTCCCTTTTTCAATGCTCTGGCTTCCCTCTTTGACCCAGCTTTGTTCATTGCTTCTATGCTGTGACTCATGCAATTAACATCCGCCTGACTTCACCTAAATAACAATGACCAATATAGTCAATTCTTAAAGCACACAGTGCCTAGAAAACGTGTTCATTTAAAAAAAAAAAAAATTTCTTTTTTTTTGTCGGAGTGTGAACCGAGAGCAGAGTGAATTTTATGAGGAATCAACACAAAAACTGCATCATCCTGAAGCTGAGAGAAAATATTTATGTTTATTTAACAGAGAAATCTATAAATCTCTCATTTATACTCAGCTTTAATTCAGCAGCATTTTTTATTATTACGTTTTTATAAACTTTTTTTTACTGTTATTTATTTTTAGTTACTTTAAAAAAAAAAAGATTTTCTCATTTTTGGCCCCTTCTCTGCGACTCTTACAAAACAAAAAATATATGTATTTTTTAATTATGGATGCAATAAGAAATTGTCATTTCAAGATATTTTCCATAAGTTCTTGTGCTAAACCTGTTTTTATTATTTACGGCAGACTTTTAGAAGGAACTTAATTCAAACTATGCTACTCATCTTTCTTCATTTTCCATAATTATCAAAAAGGCTCACATCATTCTACAAAGTTGTTTTTCTCCCCTCTTGTAATAGGTAATTAATTTTATTCTAAAATCTGGAAACATATATACATTTTTGTTTAACGTTGTTAAAACATTTACGTAGCACATGTAAAGAACATTTTTGCAGCTCTTGGCGAGTTTTATTTTGCAGCAGCAGGGGGAAAGGATTGGGGACCCCTGGTTTACACTAACCCTAAACTTTTCCTGGTTGGTTCCTTGGTCATTATTTTGCTATTTGATAAGTAATACTCTCCCACAGAGCACATCTGTTCCCAAACTGACTGCAAATCACACAAAATTTGACTGCTTATATTGTGTTTGAGTTTTGAAGGTTGCAATGGATTTTATTTATCAGACTAAATAGGGTAAAATAATAAAGCACACCCATAAAAGCCTGTTTTTTATTTAACTAACAAACTGAAAGCTTCCTTCCACTGCACAACTACACACTGTTTTCTGCAGGTCTATTTTTATGACATAAAATATGAAAGTGTTACAGGGGTGTGAATACTTGAAAACATACAAACCAGTTTTTATTAGAAGGTTAAGTCATTGCTAAAGGTGGAACTCAGGGAGGATTTCCCTCAACCAAGATTAGAGCATATTTCCAACATTTCAGAAACTTCCAAGTTGACTAACAGCAGCTGACAATCACAGGATTTCAACCGCTGCGTAGAACAGAGCTTACTTCATCAGATGCAGAGCGAAGGCATTGCACGGCGGCTTGCTTCTTTATCTCCTCTAGACTCAGGTCGGTCCCTCCTTTCTTCTTGCCCTTGCCCCACTTCTTCCCAGCTCCTTTCTCCCATCCCAGGAAGATGTCATTCTCCTAGGAAAAAAAAGAAAGAACAATAAAAATCGCTTGTGTGACAATTCAAAAACAGAAACAATGACTTTTAGGGTTTCTCTTCCTTGGTTGAACGAGAGCCCACCTGGTCCTGCAGGTCGTAGTCGTAGCTGTCGTGCAGGAGAAGGCTCAGGACGTAGCGGGTGTAGATCATGGCGTCGATCCCACACTTCTCGAGCTCCTGGCCGAGCCAGCTCTGCACCGGCCCCAGCGACTGGAGCAAGGACATCTCTGAAGCGGGCAGGGGGAAGAGGCAAGAGAGGTTCTCAGGAGGAGCAGGACCGTCTGAATCGGTGCTCACAGGACGCATGGGACCTCAGGTGTAGGCCATTTTCAGGCAGAGCAGCCTCATGGCGGGAAGCTAGCGAAGGCGAAAAGGGATGAGGCAGAGCCGATCTGGACGATGAGGTGAGGGGGGAGGGCGTTACTCCAGCAGGATGTACTTAAGGGGTTCTACATGGGGAGACATATAGGATGTTTTTATTGCTTTAAGCAAAAAAAACAAAAAAAGAAAAGAAAAAAAGGAAAGGTGATTTTACTGGTGAGGCATGGCTGCTGAAAGCTCCCGGCCGCTGAGCAAAACACAAGACGTGTTTCTGTCTCAGGCAGAGAGGTCCATGGTGGGACTGGGTCTTACTGCACAGGCACGATCTGGAACACAAAACCAGCCTGTGTGAGTTTTTATGCAGAATAAGGAAAATGCAGAATGTTTACAATTCAAAATATTCAGGTCTTCGAGAATCCATCTTCACAATGTATGGTTATTAGAGTGATTACAGGAATGAGCGATACGGACTCAGTTTTATGACAATACTTTCCGGTCACAATAAAAACATTCCCCTTTGCAATGCACTTCTTTAGGACACCAGTCACAAAGATGAGGGATTTGTTTCACTAAGCTGCACACGGTAAACGGTTTTTAATATGTATTGGTGTTTATTGATGCTTTCATTGAGCAAATAATGAAGAAAGCAGTAAAACTATTAATCACTGATAAGGATGGTTGTGGGTTTGGTTTTTAAATATCATAAATTGGAATTCACTGTGAAAACAATGAATCAGATGCACTTTGGTGCAATATTTGAGGTTAGACATGGACACAGCTTAAATTGGTTGATCCCTTCATTTTCTACTAGAGTTAAACTAGATTTAAAACTAATATGCCTATCAAGGCTTCTCCAGAATTGCTTTTATTAGTCCTTTAAAATATGAACTTGGATCAAATCTGAATTGGCTCATTAAACTTTAAAACAAAAAATTGGGAATGTAAATGAAGGCAAAAACAAAACCTGTCAGAACTATATGTATGTAATCTCCAAGGGCAATTCCATCCAGATGCAATAAATTTATGCTACAGAGACCATTATTATGACAGTAACAATAGTTAGAAAAGCTACAAAAAATTCTTGATTATAATAATGTTAAAGTCCCACACTAGCCTGTCCTTACTGGAAGATGAAAACAGTTCCAGCGAGATCTGTTTTGAAATTCATAAAGTAAAAAAAAATTAGAACAGTCCTCGAACACATTTACTTAGACTTCTATCCGTTCTCAAAAACAGTAAAGAGACTGGCACAACGCGGTGTCCTGGATCGCCGCCGCCGCTGTGAGCCACTTTTGACAGCTGGGGGAGGGAGGGAGTGAGGGGTGGAAGTGGGCCGGGAATACAGAAAGCATGCGTTTCAGATGGTGAAACTGCGGCTTCGGACACCGACGACGCGAAGAGCAAATGGAGGCTGTGGAGATTTGATTGGCTGATCCGGGCGTCATTCAGCGGTGGCATTTACAGTCACCCGTCGGAGACGTCAAAAGGGCAAGATAAGGAGCTTTGCTGTGCGCTAGCACACGACTTGAGCGATCCGCACCCTTATGCATAATAACACTGAGTCACAGGCATACTGAGGGAGAACAGCTGAGAGGTTAACGAGCCCGGCCGGCACGGCGGTTTCTAAATATGGCTGACCGTTGTCTGGAAGCCAGCAGTTCTCTTGTACGCGCATTAGCCCCGGCTGCCAGTTTCTGTCTGCGCTGTCAACATACTAACTTCATTCAGCAAGTCAAACTCAGCATTACGGCCGTTCGAACATGCACCTAATTAGAAAAAAAAAAATAAAACATTTCCCAAGACACTTTGTAATTTATGCCTTTTCGCAAACAAATGTGTGAAGCATGAGAAGCTAAGGAGAAACAACACTACAATAATAATTTTAAAAGGTTTCAGCTGGTCATGGCGTTACATGCCGGCAGTTTGTGGCAAAAATAAATAAATAAATACTGCGCTGTGTCATAAAGGCAAGCTCTCTAACTGCGTGGAATAACATTAGGTAACAGTACGGCGATTTAACAAACACACGACGATAGTGACTTCTGTTATTAAATGGCGATATTTACGTCGCTTTGCAGTCAAACCGCAAGGTTAGCTGGACCACCGACCTTTAGCTCATGTTAGCCAAGTTAGCTACCTGGAGCTCTGCGTATTGTCACAAACTTACTTCTCTTTTAATCATGTGGCATACGTATATCACCCCAGGATACTTTTAGGCGTTTGCGTTTAATGACGCGGTTGCCTTATGCCTGCCATTAAGAACAGAACACTTTGTTACGGGCAGGTGAAGGGAGGTTGCGCTCAGTGGTGGCGTTATACTGCTTTTACGGCTTTCCATTAAAATGACGACAAACACAAATACGTCAAATATTAGGCCGAATTTGCAGTCGAAAAGAACCGGGCTTTAAATATCTAAATGCCAACAATAGAAGTAAATGCGTGCAGAGAGGCTGGAGCCATTCGAAAGCTAACGTTAGCTTTCACGTAGCTACGCTTGTTGTTGTGACTGAGGGGGAGGAACAGCGGCTGCACGGTACCAGAGGACTGTCAGACGTTTTTTTCCCCCTCAACAAATGTGCGCCATATCGTCATAAGGCGAAGGAGTTAACAAACTTAACATTATTCACCAAGCAGGACCAAGAGAAGCTCAACATGTGAAGAACACCACCGGAGTCGGTTTACTCACCTGCCGTGGCCTGAAGTAAAGAAGCAGCGAAAGGGGAGCGGCTAGTTCTCTCCCGCTGCCGTTCCGAGCTCGAGCTCTGGAATCTGCTGCGGTAGCAGCGCGTATCATGGACGCCGACAGAAATGGCGCTGTTTTCGCATCTAGCGCTTCTTCACCAAAGCGCTAGCGAAACTGGCGACATTCGGGCTCCCGTCCAGGAAGGTCATTCGTCGATGACAGGGGATACGAGGAACCACAATGTCCACAGCCAACGAGCCAGTTTCATTCACGTACGACTATTGAATGCGCCACCCTCCGCGTTCGTATCTAGGCAACAAGGCAAACCTCCACTGTCCCGCTGCGGTAGGTTTGATTCCTCCGCCTGGAGTATTGCATCAGAAGTCCAACTAGTACTCCCACAGTTTGCGCTCACACAAAGTGAAATTGAAAGGCACTGGGCAATGCTGAATGCAGAGATTTGAGCTGTACAAAAAATACTTCGATCGTTGTGACCGATGTTAATATTCACAAATTTACAATCGGATTATTTTATCTACATTTGACAATATTTAAAGATTTTTCACCCTCATTATATTCTAATGTAATTTGTGGTAGACAAAATAGCACTTTACAGGAATAAAAATAATAGAATTTAATGTTTGTTTGTTTTTAAATTCTAATCTGTCAAGCATGGTATTTGTTTCTTTCAGCTTCCTTTACTCTAACATTTCTAAACAAAATCTGATGCAATCAAATGCATCCAGGTCACCTGGTAAATCATTATAAGTCTAGCTGTCAGTGCCACACAAAAGGTTGGCCCCCGGATGTTAAGTTTGACGCATGTCCTAAGTATCAGTTGGAATCTCTGTGCACTTTTACACAACCAGATTTCTGCAGCTTTTTACAATTTTACTGCAAAAAATGGTTTTGTTTTCCATTGAGATAATAGAGAATATATGCTGGATTGCCCATTTCAATGCATCACAAAAACTGACACTTTTTTTTATTTTTAAAAATAAGAACAACATCAAAAAGCTTGTGTATATCGACAGGTAAAAAGATTTTGTGAAACAGTATTGCTAAGGAACTAGCACTGGGCATTGTACAAGCATAAATTCATTCAATAAAAGGCACTAAATAATATTTTCAATTGGCTATATGGAAGATGACTGATACACAAAAACAGTAAGATAATACCTTCTGTACATACATCCAGTTCTTACTGGTCACGTACCATCTACCCACACACATTAAAAGTTAAAATAATAATAAAAATAATTCTCAAAAATCTATTTTTGACATATAGACACAATGAAGAATAATACAACTAAAACGACTGATTCTTATATTGCATGTGTATGTGGATTTTTCTTAAAGCAAAAAAAGAAATTATAGATTTTTTTTTTCTAAATAAATAAAGAAACTCAGTGTGTATTGGGGCATTCTCCAGAGGCTGACCCTCTTCCATAAATCAAAGGTGTGTAACTTGAGGCCTTACCACAGGGGTCACCACAGGGGTCACCACCTGTGGAGTTAACATGAGTCGGAGCCTGTTGCCCGGCTGTTCGCACCACCATCCAGATGACATAAAAACACTTGCCTCATTGTTATGCTCGCAGCTACAAAACATAGAGGGCTTCTGCGAAGGAGTTCGAGGAGGGTAATCAGGATCTATATGTGTGTACATGAGACAAAGCTGATAAACAGCAGAGCTAGTTTGTGTGTGGTTAGCAGCAGTTCACAGGATCCCTGGGGGGCTTTTTAAAAACAGATAAGCTTTTGATTTGTATGTGGAACCGGAACAAAGCCACCCGACGGCCCACTGATCTTCCAGATGCAAAGCCAAGTGGGAGCCCTGTCAGTCTCCACAGGCAATATCCTGCGTTTCCTTTTATGAATCACCCTAATCGTTATTGGAATCGTTCTGCCATTCTGCCTCGTCAAGGTTTCTGCCTTCCCTGAAGCTGATAAGATCTCGTCTCAGCCTCGAGCTGTAGGCCGCAATTTAGCACTTTTTACCCGGAGCTTTATACTCTGACAACTTCCTCCTTCGCCACTGTTAATTGAAAATTGATTTAGAGCATCTGGCGCAGTTAGAAGATTCCTTTTAATCCTCTTTCAGGAAGATGGTTTAAAGGCATGACGGCAGATTTTTTTTTTCACTCCTAAAAAAAAACGACAAGATTGCAATGATGTCTGTATCGGCAGCTCGTTTCAGGAAATGCTTTTTACATTTCAAGTTGTGTCTTTTGAAACCAAATTTGAAACCAGAAACATACACACACCGAATAAAAAGACAAGCATTTTTTTAATCTCACTCTTTAATCAGACCAGCCTTCTCTTGTTTTAGGTCAGCGAGAATTCCCGACGTTGTTTCTACTTTTCTAGATGCCGCAATAGTGAGAGAAAGAATATGTCAGAGGTGTTATTGATTTATGTCTTCAAAATCAGATGTTTGCATACTGAGTGATTAATATTTCTCGCGGTGAAACAGTCATGGACTGAAAGGCGCGGTGAAACAGTCATGGACTGAAAGGCCGCTCAGAAAGGAGGAACCCAGTGCTCCTGAAGGAGAATTTAAAAGACAGATTGCAGTTTGCAAGTGCACACAGAGACAAGAAAATTTATACTTAGACACATGTCCAGTGGTTTGATGAAACTACAGTAGAAGTGTTTGACCATGTGACCAGAGTATTCAGATATTTTCTTCGCCTCCCTCCTTTACGATTCATCTTGATTTGAAGAATCAAAAATCACCCCAATAACTGAATGAACCACCTGGAAAGACAAAGACTTATTTGTTCCCATTTTGCTGGTTAAAAAAGTAAAAAAAAACAACCTCAAATTGAAGGTGGGATTTTTCAAAATTAGATGATGCTATTAGCCAGGTGAAAACCAGCCTGTTTTATCTTTTGCAGATGGTCTGGACCCGAGGCTAGTTTTTAATGTTACCCAATCGCTAACATATGCAACCGTTGAAGCTATGAAGCTAACCGGAAATTTCCTGCGCTTTGGAAAAGTACAGATCTGAAAGCAGTGGCTGTTGTTGTTAATTCAGTATTTGTATTTGGATGCGTGGCCAACAATAACTGAACGGCTTCGTTCTCTTCCTTTGCCGCCTTTTCTAAAACTGCAGGCAGGTTGCAATTCTAAAAAAGCGCAGAAAAGCACATTGTTCTCAACTTCTTCTGCTCGCTAACTAGCCATGTAGAAACCAGAGAAATCCAAGAGAATGGGAGAAAACCCAGACTGAGTTTTTAAAGTGTGTAGGAAGACAATAGCAAGGGAAATATTTGAAGGTTTTTACACAGTTTTACTGAAGGTGCCTGCAAAGGAAGCAGACACATGTTTCACCAACCTGACAGGTATGACTTGGATTTTTTTTTTTGTGGCATTTGATTTATCTTAGACAACAGCAGTTAATCAGAGGTTATCCAGATAATCTGACTGTCCTCATGAAACCTGTTAATCATCATCATCATCGATATCATCATCAGTATCCAGTCACGTGTCAGCATTCACTAAAGCTACAAGAGCAGAGAGTGATTCTTGGCTATTGAGCTGACACACTTCTCACTCTAATCCTTTTAGTGAATTTAAATGATTGCCCCTGCAGAGACCAATCACAGCCAGATGAATTAATCAAAGGGACCAATAGGGATCGTTGAGGAACACTTCATCAAAGCCATATGACTTTAGTTCCTCTTTATTATCTCCAGACCTGTTTACCACAGTCTGGTTTCAGTCTCTGAGTTGTTGCCCAATTGCATGCATATTCTGAACACAGACCTTCACTGCGGCCTGTCTGACTGTGGGATTTTTTTCTCCCTCCTGCTCACAGTTATGCAATGTTTTTGCTGGCAGCCAGCTTTTATTCTATGTCAGCCATTATAATCAGATGTATGATAGTAGAAACAAACTCAGCTGCATGATCCTGTAAATGTCTGTATATTCCCCTGATTGTTGGCAATCTCCTCATTCTGTTACGGGAATCATGCTCTGTCTTGCATAGAGGTTTTATTGCAAGCCAGATTAGAAAGAAAAGGGGAATTGGAGTAGTTCTGCATTGCACTGAAGGTTCAGTTTAATAATGTACTGTAAATATGTATTGCATTATGATAGTCAGTAGTCAAGGAGTGGGTCATTCTATGACTACCTGTCTAATAAAAGTCAGAATTTTTATGCTTTAAGTCTGTAATTTGCAATTTGGTTGTCTTAAGCAATTATGCGGCACAGCAGAGTCCAAGCTTGACTCAGTTCTACTCCACTGTTGAATTTTTGTATAGTTTTTCACAGCTTCTTCTCCAGGGGTATGGCTTTAACCTGTTCTCCCCCGGTCTACCCTGACCAGATTCGTCTCCAATTGCAGACATGACGCGGTTCTTTCCCCTTTTTTGATTCTGGTTCAAGCTGAACATAGCCATGTATTACAAGCAGATAATTTGATCAGCAACAGACTGCAGCTGTTGATTGGCTTGTGGGTTTACGTTGACATCTCTGCCACTATTTTCAATCTGGAATGAGACCCAGTAGTTGGCCAGACAGGCAAAACTTGGAAGTCCAAACCTTTTTATCAATTGCGGCAGAAGAGCACAGACAGCGTCAACAGGACATGGCAACTGGCAACAGACAAATATACTAAGAGATTTTGGAGAAACTAAGCACGCCAGGGTGCGCGCTCAAAACTGTTGCACGTGATGGCAAAACTAACCCGGAACATCACTCTGAAAATTCAGGATTTTCTAATCAATAGCTGCAAAAGCAAATGAGGTTGATTAGCAGTGCTGGCCTACGACTGATGGTGTCATAACATGCTACGGTGAAATATCATTTCTGTCACTGAATATCGAGCACATCATGACAGTCATGTATGACACTCATGTGACTGTCAGACAGCAACGGCTTCTTAAGTCAGAGGCCTCCTCAGATTTGCCCCATGACTGATTACCAGCCCACAGCATGACCATCCGCATCAACACGTTGAAAATACTTGGATGACATGAGTTGATAACTTTTTATTTCCCTTTGGGATCAATAAAGTATTTCTGAATTTCTGAAGAGTGGATACAGTTCATGTGTTCAGGCTGAAACATGTTCAGTGGAAGCTCAGAAATTAGTAGCTACAAGCCAAGAACAAAAATAGAACTTGCAATATCTCACCGACATTGTGTTCTAAATCAGATTCCAGAATACAGTCGCCTATCTTGGAGATGATTGTTGTTTTCCTCAAACCACTGAGGTTAAGATGCTTAAACTACAACTTCTAAAACTGGTAAAGCATATTATTCATTTGATCTGCTGTGT